TCAGGTAAGTGTTGTAATGTACAGGTAAAAGTTGTAGAGTACAGATGTTGTGGAGTACAGCTAACATCTTTTAATTGTAATGTTTCTGATCTATCCATATCAGATCACTTTCTGGTGTCCTTTTGTACCAAACTGGCAGTTTTTAGGTAACCCCGTGTCGTCCGATCACATTTTGGAATATTAAGAATATTGATGTGTTTAATTTGTACATTCAGCTCCTTGGTTTACACCCGAACTGCGTGACCTTAAAACTAAAGGCCGTAGGTTAGAGCGGTTGTAGGTCAGGTCTGGCCAGACTGGCCTTACTGTGCATAAAGAAATGTATGCTGAACATATTCAAAATTATAAAAATGCACTGTCCAAAGCTAAATCTGATTACTACTCCAACGTAATTGGAGTTAGCAATGGGATCTCCAGATCTCTTTTTTTGGTGGTAAACAACATTTTGAAACCACCAGATTCTTTACCATATGATATAAATTCCACTGACTTATGTGATCGCTTTTTGACTTTTTTTGCATCTAAGGTTGAAAATGTACATCAGCAATTACTCACTGGTACTCTCCACAATGACCCCTGTCAGTCTATCACTCACACACCTCATCACTCTGTTTTCTCTACCTTTACACTACCAACTACTTCAGAGATAGTGGGTCTGATAGGTAAATCTAAATCTTCGACTTGCCAGTTAGACCCTCATACTTTAGTGAAAGCATGTTTACCAGCCATGTCGCCATTGATCACTAAAATTGTTCACGCTTCACTTGTTTCTGATTCTGTATCTCCATCTCTTAAATCTGCTATCATTACTCCCATACTTAAGAAATCAGGGGGTGATCCATTTAATTTTGATCATTTTCGTCCGATTTCAAATTTACCATTTATCTCTAAGGTAGTGGAAAAGTGTATTGCAATTCAAATTCATGAACATCTCTCCAATAACAACTTGTATGAACAATTCCAATCTGGTTTTCGTCCCCACCATAGCACTGATACTGCTCTTGTAAGAATAACCAATGATCTACTGCTGGCAGCTGACTCTGAGCTTTTAACCATACTAGTCCTTCTTGACTTGAGCGCATAGGATACTTCTTGACAGATTAGTTTCTATTGGTATTACTGGCACTGCTCTGTCTTGGTTTAAGTCATATCTATCTGGACCCAGAAAGCGTATTCAATTAAAAAGTTTTAGATCAAGAATATCTACAGTCACCACTGGTGTTCCCCAGGGTTCTGTTTTGGGCCCGCTTCTTTTCATTATTTATATGCTCCCTCTCGGTTATATTTTGAGGAAATATGGTATTAATTTTCACTGTTCTGCGGATGACACCCAACTTTACCTGTCTGCCAAACCCACCAGTTCTTTTCCTCCACCGTCTTTGTCCAGCTGTTTAGCTGAAATTAAAGATTGGCTTTCAGCTACCTTTTTGAAGGTAAATGGCAACAAAACTGAGGCTCTGCTTGTTGGCACTAGATCTGTTGTCTAAATCTAATTGTTTGTCCATTGACAATACTGCAATCTATCCTTCATCACAGGTTAAAAGTTTGGGTGTCATCATGGATGGCACACTATCATTTGAAGCTCAAATTAATAATATCACGCGGATTGCATACTTCCACTTGCGTAATATTAACCGTCTCCGTCCCTTTCTTTCAAATAATAATACTGCTGTTCTTATTCACCCACTAGTCACTTCACGTATAGACTACTGTAATGCTCTTCTCGCAGGTTTTCCCTCCAAACTGCTACATAAGCTTCAGTTGGTTCAGAATTCTGCAGCTCGTGTTCTCTCTAGAACACATTATACTGAGCACATTTCTCCAGTTCTTCAGCAATTGCACTGGCTTGCTTCCCGTAAAGTATAGAGTTGAATTCAAAATCTTGCAACTTACTTATAAGGCACTTCATAATCTTGCACCACAATACCTTACTCAACTTCTCCATGTTTACACTCCTTCACGTACTCTCAGATCTTCGTCTTCAATTTCTCTTGTGGTACCTCGAATTCGACTACAGATCTTTTAGTCATGCTGCCCCCGCCCCCCACCTGTGGAACTCTTTTCCCATTGATGTTCGCAATAGCGAGTGCTTGTTGACTTTTAAAACGCGCCTTAAGACATATCTTTTTATACAGGCTTTTTTATAACATGTTTTATTGAGACTTTACTGCACTTTATCTGTATATGTGACTTGTTTGTTGTGTGTTTTGTCTTATGCAGTGACCTGTATATTGCTTGTGAGGTGACCTTGGGTGTTATGAAAGGCGCCATTAAATAAAATGCATTGTTATTATTACAGGAAAGTGTTGTAATGTACATGTAAGAGTTGTAGAAGAGTACAGGTAAGTGTTGTAATGTACATGTAAGAGTTGTAATGTACAGGTAAGTGTTGTAATGTAAGAGTTGTAGAGAACAGGTAAGTGTTGTAATGTACGTGTAAGAGTTGTAGAGAACAGGTAAGTGTTGTAATGTATGTGTAAGAGTTGTAATGTACAGGTAAGTGTTGTAAATGGTAAATGGACTGCATTTATATAGCGCTTTCACAGACCCAATGGCCACCAAAGCGCTTTACATATTGCCTCACATTTTGCCTCACATTCACCCATTCACACACCGACGGCGGTGTCTGCCATGCAAGGCGCCATCCAGCTCATCGGGAGCAGCTGGGGTTATGGTCTCCCAGCTGGGGTTGGGTCTGTTAAAGCGTAATGTACATGTAAGAGTTGTAGAGAACATGTAAGAGTTGCAATGTACAGGTAAGAGTTGTTATGTACATGTAGTTGTTTGTACGTTGTGGTGAGAGCTGGTCAGGTCGGAATTTGGATAAAAATCCTCACTAGCTTGTTTAGCCCATACCAGTAAATCTAGGTGTACACCTGCTTACCCTCCAGCAGAACCTTTCGTGGATCCTTGGTGGTCCTTGTTGGTCCTTGGTCCTTGTTCTTGCCAAATATACTCTAATGCTGTTTCTATTACTTATAGAACTGTCTTTATAAGCTGAAGTAAAAAACTGAACAGTGTTTGTCTTTATAAAATAAAAATTTATTTGAACAAAAATACTGGTTATACAATGATTAATATTTGTAGCAAAATAATAAAAGGTTACAGGTTATAATACTTCAGCTTATCCAATCTCAACAGGGCAGTCATGTATGAGTGGAAAATTAAACAGACTCTTTACCTTGTATGCAGTTCAAGCAATAGATGTAAAAATTAACTTGTTCTCTTCCGAACTGGTCAAGTTAAAACAATACAGCAGAGCAGATTGAGCAAAAAGAATTTCAGGTAACAAACTGGACAGGGGAAGAATTCTCTCCAGGGATGCACACGACAACAAAATCAAAAATGCAACAACTAACAGTCAAAAAGCAGTCATATATATATATATATATATATATATATATATATATATATATATACTCACCGGCCACTTTATTAGGTACCCCATGCTAGTAACGGGTTGGACCCCCTTTTGCCTTCAGAACTGCCTCAATTCTTCGTGGCATAGATTCAACAAGGTGCTGGAAGCATTCCTCAGGGAGTTTGGTCCATATTGACATGATGGCATCACACAGTTGCCGCAGATTTGTCGGCTGCACATCCATGATGCGAATCTCCCGTTCCACCACATCCCAAAGATGCTCTATTGGGTTGAGATCTGGCTACTGTGGAGGCCATTTTAGTACAGTGAACTCATTGTCATGTTCAAGAAACCAATTTGAAATGATTAGAGCTTTGTGACATGGTGGAAGTAGCCATCAGAGGATGGGTACATGGTGGCCATAAAGGGATGGACATGGTCAGAAACAATGCTCAGGTAGGCCGTGGCATTTAAACGATGCCCAATTGGCACTAAGGGGCCTAAAGTGTGCCAGGAAAACATCCCCCACACCATTACACCACCACCACCAGCCTGCACAGTGGTAACAAGGCATGATGGTTCCATGTTCTCATTCTGTTTACGCCAAATTCTGACTCTAACATCTGAATGTCTCAACAGAAATCGAGACTCATCAGACCAGGCAACATTTTTCCAGTCTTCAACTGTTCAATTTTGGTGAGCTCTTGCAAATTGTAGCCTCTTTTTCCTATTTGTAGTGGAGATGAGTGGTACCCGGTGGAGTCTTCTGCTGTTGTAGCCCATCCGCCTCAAGGTTGTGCGTGTTGTGGCTATATATATATTCACAAATGCTTTGCTGCATACCTCGGTTGTAACGAGTGGTTATTTCAGTCACTGTTGCCCTTCTATCAGCTCGAACCAGTCTGGCCATTCTCCTCTGACCTCTGGCATCAACAAGGCATTTCCGCCCACAGAACTGCCGCTCACTGGATGTTTTTTCTTTTTCGGACCATTCTCTGTAAACCCTAGAGATGGTTGTGCGTGAAAATCCCAGTAGATTAGCAGTTTCTGAAATACTCAGACCAGCCCTTCTGGCACCAACAATCATGCCACGTTCAAAGTCACTCAAATCACCTTTCTTCCCCATACTGATGCTCGGTTTGAACTGCAGGAGATTGTCTTGACCATGTCTACATGCCTAAATGCACTGAGTTGCCGCCATGTGATTGGCTGCTTAGAAATTAAGTGTTAACGAGCAGTTGGACAGGTGTACCTAATAAAGTGGCCGGTGAGTGTATATATATATATATATATATATATATATATATATATATATATATATATATATACGGAACTGGGTTACATTGTTCCTATGCAATTTTCTTGGGTATCTTCCAGAGGAACTATATCATGTGAGAACAACCACCTGTTGCCTCATAAATCATGTGAGATCAGTTCTCTGTTGCTTCAGATGGGGGGACTTCCGGAGCAAACTTTGTTCGCCATACATGTGCGTTTTTCCGTCCTTTACGGCCCTTGCGTTTCGGGCCTCTTTGTAAGTGTGTACGTGTGTATGTATCTGTAAGTGTTTTTGTAGGTTCATCAAAATTCACATAATCCCCTACAACGTTCAAATTTAGAATTGGGTTGATATTTTTTTTTAATTATCATCAAGCCATAAATATGTGAAGACCACTTGGACTTGACAGTCCTGGCCTCCATAGGTGAGGCACAGGGTGTAATTAGTGCCTGGCTTGAGGCCCTGAAAGCGATAGGCGTTGACACCCTCCTCTATCTTGGACCACTCCACTAGAGTCCTGCGCGGGACTGTTTTCTTCATCCCGCTCCCGCCCGCGCCCGCCAAATTTTTGACCATTACCGCCCGCTCCCGCAACGTATGTGTTACGCTCCCGCAATATGTATGTCCACTCCCGCCCGCACCCGCAAAACTCGGAGAATTTATTCCCGCACAATAATAGAGATGCACTGACTTTGTGTCTTCTCCCGTCCCGCAGGAAAAAAACGCGTATTTGTATTGCTATTGTTAAAGAGATTCATGGGGTTGTTGGTTTCGTTTCCCTGGCCTGCATGTATTCTGACGCACTGATCAGGAAGATGAATAGTAAATGTCAGACTTGCCTTGCTCAGGTTTTGTGCTGTAAATACCTCGTTTAAGGTTCTTTTCCACATCATTGACATCTCCATCATGTCGTTAGGCTACCTCCCAATCCCGCAGGGGTTTTATTTGTCCGCCCATTCCCGCCCGCAGTAAAGTTCAAACCGCCCGCTCCCGCGAGATTTGCGTTGGGTCGTCTGGAAAAGGCTAAAAGGCTCCTTATTTGCAGTTTGGAGGTCTTCTTGTTGACTGAGGTTAATGTTTGACTTTGCGTTGGCCATCTGGAAAGGGTTCAGCTGAACTTTGGCCTCAGTCTCTGAAACCTCTTGAGCGATCACCACAAAATCAAACGTGTACTGACAGCAGATCAGGTGTAGTTGCCGTTGTCTTTCTTACTCATGCGAGGGATGATCAAGGTGGCGTTTTGAAACACAAGGAACCTGGTGTTCGTAGGCGGCCCATTAACCGGAATCTCAATTTTTTCGACAATGGCGGGTAAAGGGAATGTAATTAGTTGGTTTCCAGCGTATATCTCCCATGTGACGTCAGGTTTAGTGGTTCCTTTTGTTTCGCAGTATAGCATGACCAAATATCACTCATAGAGTTCAGTTTTTTCAATGTTTGACTGATATGTTATGGACACGGACGGAGCCTTGTGTAGCGACAACGAGAATGCAACCCACACGAGTGAAGCGTTCGTACATAATCAAACACAAGGGGCTGCATATTCCAGATCGCCCCAGGCACTGGAGTCAAGAGACCCTTTGTTGTTTAACTAAAGGAAGAACATTGTCAATGTTTTATAATTTGGCAAGAACAGATCTGTTCAGAAATGGTGAAACAAGAGGCCCTAACAAGAAGTCACCTGACCCCTGCGACTAAACAGACTGAACCATTCAGGGTCCCGAGCTAGTTTTCCCCTCATCAATTAGTACGTCTCCTTGTGGATGTCCATACAAAAATACCCTTTGTCTTGAAGACAACCATTTGCGAACTAAACCCTCACGTGGTACACACCACGGATGCGACAAATGCTGACCATAAGGATACACACACACACACACATAAGGACTTTCCTCCAATTCTCCAATACCAATAAACTCATCCCAGAACAATTCTTGACTGACCCATAATCAAAATCATGTAACATAACATAATTATATATTGTGTTTACAACCCCTGTATGTGTCTATTCTGCTTAGATCACATCTAAGTCATGTAATTGTTTTAAATATTAGAGATACTGGAATGAAAGTGTCGTGTTTCCTATCATTATGCTCGTATGTTTTTAATTCAAAAGATGGCTCGATTGAAATCTGTGTAAAAATGTTTATGTTCTTAAAATGGAAATTATGTCTAAACTGAATCCGCTGTTCGAGCTGATGACTAAGCAGACCACAGATAGCACATGATTCACGATGAGAGAAAGGGGGGGGATAGAAAAGACCCCCTTCTCAAATAACCATATAGTATCTTATTGTCCGAATTCCAAATTCCTCCAGGAGGCGGGACAAACATTTTGAGTTTAAAATCTTAGACCCGAACACAGAATCTCTCTCTTGTGATGCTCTTGTGAGGCTCTCTTGTGTTCTCGTTCTCTTGTGCTCTCTCTGGTTCTCTTGCCCTCTGCTCTCTGATGCTCTTGCTCCCTCCCTCGGAAAAGGTCTCGGCAGAACAAGCCGGGTGGAGCCGACGATGGTTATAGTAACCATGTAGACGAAGAGACAAATGACCCAAATCAAGATATGGGTTAAAACAGATTCAGTCAAGCCATCTCGTCTCACCTTACTTTCTTTCCTTTGTTTTCTTTTCCGTTAAAAGTCTCGGTTCTAAGTTAAGTTTTGCTGCAAAGTTTCGTTTTAACGTTTCAACTGCAAAACCAGCTTCCAACTTCGAAGACTTTCATTCATCCGCGCCAGCACACCACGTGACTGGCTGCCCAAGATCTATCCAGGCACACGAGAAGATCAGCAAAACCACGGACCCGGGGAACACCTTCACACCGACAAAAGGGAATCCCCAAAAGCAACGCAAGGACAAGCAAGTACCTCCAGACTTTTAGCTGAAACTGCAGGTGCATTTTAAAATCAAATTGAATTACCCGCCTACGAAACGATACAAGGGTGAAATTAATTATTGATGGTTCGTTCAGGTCATGTCTTTTAAGTGCATATAGAAACTTGGGATCTCACCATCTAACTCCTAAAACTCATTCTTCCTCACTCTCTGTCTTTCTTCAACTTGTATGAATGCGTGGGCGTGTGTTTGTGTTATATTAGTTTTATGTGTGTTAGTCATAGGCTTATAATCAATAAAGTATTGTTTGTACTTGAAAAGAGAAGCATTACTTGTGTTATGTGCTTACAGATTTATTGTCTTGAATTTCGATCTAAGTTACCTATGCTTTGACCCTTGATTTATTTCTTAATTTAGCTGTTAGCTGGGAATTAGTCTTTCTTGGCCAAGAAGATATTATATTTCCTAGAATAGCTTGTTTTCATATGACGTCACGCCACTGCGTTGCCATGGCGCGAAATGCAAATGGAGGGCAGGAAGTGATTTGCTGTATTTAGAAAGCACTATAACAAACTCAAAATGCCTATGTTTTGCGTCGTTTATGGTTACTTAAATCGATCAAACCGCGTGGAGTTTTTATTGTGTAGCAAAAGTTGTTGTTCATAAGGGGGGAAAATGCAAGAAATTGACCGAAAAACTCAGGAAAAACGGCTTGCAAACCTAACTTAGCCTACGTCTGCGGTCGGGAGGAGCCGAATGGGAAAATGCCCGTGTGTGCAGTAATCACTTCGTCAAAGGTGAGTTAATACAACTTAAGTGGCTATGTTTGTGAAACGAACTTTGTAAAGTCAAAGTATGTCTGTAAGACGAGGTATTGCTGATATCTACCGCCTCGATGGCAGGAAAATCTTTCAATTCAGTTGAAAAATCGCTCCTCTTCATAACGTAAGGATCACGTCCAACATATGTTTGATTTTTTGTTTATATCTTTCTCTTGTAATAGCGTGTAAAGTAGTACAGTACGGACTTAACTCCATCTCGTCTATTGCGCTCTTCACTCCCTGACCCTGCCCTCCATCTGAATTTCGCGCGTCATCATAATCACGTGACTGAAACCCAGCTATTAATAATTGTTTATGCTTTCCGTTCATTGGATGAACTGATAAACTGATCATACTATTGATTTTGCTACAGTAAATTCTGAAAATAATTCAATTATTAATTATTGATCATAATCCGTTATGAATAATAATTAATTATATTTATACGTGCGTATAAACGCTACACTTGCAATCCAGTTTGGGCATGCTAGTGACCTGTGTACCTTTGAGGTGGGAAGGAGCATCGCAGACAATGTTGTTTTGGTCAGGGATTGAGATTGAGGATTTGGTGATCCAGTCCCTAAGCCACTCAAGGTTGCAGGAGCAGATGAAGGGGTTGTGGAAGATTTGGAGGTGGGACATGGCAGTCAAAGCATCAAACGTCCCCTGCACGATGGTGGTAAACTTGTTATTGTTAATACGGACCGAACGCAGGTCCTTCAGGTTGGAAAAGGCATTCTTGGGGATGCTGACCATCTCGTTATTGTTCATCTTTAACAACTGCAGGGCAGTGAGATTGGTCAAGTCCTCCCATGGAAAATGCACAATTTTGTTGTGGCTAATATCCAAATTTCTCAGCTGGATCATCAGAGCCAAGGTGTCCCTCTCGACGGTGACGATTTCATTGTGAGCCAGCCAAAGAGAGGTCACCTGGGTCACATTTATAAAGGTTTTGGATTTCAGCACTTTAATCTTGTTAGCTGAAAGACTCAGGGTGGTCACATTGGACGGCAAGCCCACAGGTACTTCCAGAAGTTCTTTGTAGGCACAATCTGCAAACTGGTGGTTATATTTATCAGAGCAGGTACACTGCTCAGGGCAACAGTGCGCACTGCCAATCACTGCAGTCCCCAAGGCAATAAGCATCAGGTATTTGGTTGCCATTTTCAGCTCCTGCCAAGCACACATAAAGGTGCAGATTAGTACAAATTATTTATGTATTTTTCACACTCAAAGAACAAATGTGAATGAAAGAAGTCATTTAAAGTTAACTATTGCAAACTATTATGATGATAATAAAAAGCACTTGATGCTATCAGTGTCAAACAAATATATTTTGAAAAGTTACCAAAAACTAAATGCTTTTATTATTATAATTGATTACACTTTATTTGTTAAGTTTATTTTAGTGTCATTATTACCTATGTTACATTCATAAATTATGCATCATTGCAAGCCCAAACCAAACCCTATCCTAACCCTATAGTAAGTATATGTAGTTAGTTAATATTACTCAGTACTTAAATGTATAATTACAGTGTAACAAATACATCTTAAAATACAGTGTAACCCTTTATTTTAAGGTGACAGTTACATTGTAATTAATTAACTACATGTACTAACTATAGGGTTAGGATTAGGGTTTGGTTTGGTTTAGGCTTAGTGGCATGTAATTATGCATACATACTGTACTGTTATTACTATAGTAAGTACATGTAGTAATGTGTAACTATGTCACCCTAAATTAACGTGTTACCTTATTTATTCTCTCTTTATTTTGTTCTCTTTTTTTCTCGAGTTCTCAAGTTCTTGTGGACTAATTGAGATGTCTGTTGTCTTTTTTGTTTCGACATCCTCGAGCGTCTTGCTGTTACCGGGCGACTGAGCAGCGAAGGCTCGAGAACGTACCGTTCTTGTACCGTGTCCGCTGTCCAGCGTGCTGAAAACGCGCTTCACTTTATATAATAAAACTTATTTGTGTTGCGAATGTCTTGAACATTTAGAGATGTGTAGCGACTGCTTCTTAACCATACAATCCTTACAATCTTTCGCTGAAAGTTTAAATAAGAAACACTTTTACAGTTTATTAGGGGCCCAAGCACCGAAGGTGCGGAGGCACCTATTGTATCTGTTCTGGTTCTTATTATTATTCTGCCGTTTCTTCCTCTTCTTCCGACTGGGCGTCTATGACAGCCTATAGACCTTATGTAGCCCCGCCCCTTTTCAGCGCTGCGCTCATTGTCTTTTGACTTCCGGCCTGTATTTTTCACAGCGATCTTGCATAGGTATGAATGAACTGCTCGTAAAAAATTTCCCGGTCGACATTTGTTAAGACATCTGCTCTACAATGCTTATGGTAAATATTACAATGCTCATGATAACTTTTGTTAACTCTACAATAAGTAAATCCACTTCACCAGCTAATTACTCCTGGACAGCGATGCCATAGAAATATACAGAGCGACCGCAAAAACGGAAGTTCAAAGACAATATTCTAAAGATGACGGCGCCCACGTTTCTCTGGTGCATAAGGTCTATAAAACCGTTTGCGGGAAAGTTGTTATGGTTTGACATTCTGATAGAGGACAGTCCCAACATTAAATACACCAATTTTGGTGTCTCTAACTCATTGCCTCTAGCGCCACCACCTGTCCAAAGTTTCACTCATATTATGCTAATAACTTTTGAACCGTAAGGCCTATCAACAAAATTCCTGAGCTTATGACGATTCGATTGCACCCTATGACGTAATTTTCCGTCATAAAGATATGTTCGCCATTTTGAATTGTCCAAAAAACCTACTTTTGCGAACTCGCCCTAGACGGTTTGTCCTATTTTCAGCCAAAATTGCACCAGATCATCTTCAGGCAGTGCCGACAAAAAGTTATGGAATTCAAGTTGATTCATCAAACCTTTTTCGATAAACGCACAAACTAATTTTACGTGGCGCTTGCAAAAACAGACGTAAGGCTGTATCTCCGCAACGCTTAATCGTATTCAGACCAAACTTGGTACATGTCATCACAAGCATGACTTGAGGCTACATGCTGCGTTTCGGCCCAGCACCACCTACTGGTCCAGAGATATGAAAAATGTCTATGTTTGCTTATAACTTCTGAATGATTTGTCCAAAAATCATAAAAGTTGACTCGTTGGATTCAGGGCGTCATGCCGAGTCGACTGATATCCAATTCTCCCAGATCGGCCATTTTGGCTGTCGGCCATTTTGAATTATGTGCTAAAATGCTGTATTTTATGAACGCATGAACGAATTGTTACGAAACTCATTATAGGTCATCGGTACTATGCCCTGAAGAAGCCTGAGAAGTTTCAAAACAGCGCCACCTAGTGGTAAAATTAAAATTTCAAATGCTTATAACTCTGGGTGTGGTTGACTGATTTTCACGGGAGTCATCTCCTTCGGTTCCTGAATCCTTGCCGAGTCCAACGATACCACCCATGCTAGGTTTCGCGTTACGGTTTGTGTAGTGTTGTGATTTAGCACTTAAAAAACATTTGCCAATATCTTCGAAACCGTTAGACCGATCGAGATGAAACCACCGTCAGAAGTTTGGAAACATAGGTCACTGGCTAAACATCTCTGCCCAAATGTCAAAATATTGATAGTAAGGAGTAGTAAAATCCAATCAAAGTCACGTGTCAGTCATTTTTGACGTGTTTTTTCACATAAATGTCTATAAATCTGAAGCGATTTGATATATTTTTACCAAACTTGGCACGCAGATGTATGGGCTTACTCTGAGGACACATACAAAAAATGGTGGGATTGAGCCTTTTGGTGGCACTATAATAGAACAAAACGTGAAATTCCCATTGACTTTAATACAGCATTGTGATATAAAATGCTATACTTAACGAATACATTGCTGTAACATTACGAAACTCAGTATGTGCCATAAGCACCATACCCTGAAGGTAATCAAAAGATTTCGAGACAGCGCCACCTTTTGGTCAAAAGTTATAATTAATTTCCGAAAATGCTAATAACTTTTGAAAAAATGTGCCTATTTAAATGACACAGATCTTTATAGATTTTTAAAAAATGTTTAAAATTTCCCCCAAATTAGGCTTTATTAGGCTTATAAAATATAAAACTTTTAATTTAAATGAACTTAAAACAATCCTCCCTTAAACCTATAATAAATATCATATATTTACATGTACCATACAGAAATTGAATAAGGTTATAAAACGGTCCGCACTGCATAAATTATAAATGAAATATAGATTAATCCTTAACAAAGCTACAACCGTTCTTTAGTCAAGAGCAGTTTGTAATTTTCTCTGTTCCCTCTGTTCTTTAGGTTAACTTTACTGACAGACAGAATTAATGGCTCCTGTCACTTTAAGATCTGCCGCTGCTGACAGGATCTCACGCATCTCATTCTCTCACTACTATTTACTTCCATTTAAGATTTTATTTAACTCATTTAAGACTGTTCTTGTGAGGATACTCGCCAAATGGACATTTTGGCATAAATGTGTGTGTTCTTCGTTCAGGCGCGAAAGAGAATGGTTTAAGCATTTGCGTGAATAAGAGCGTGATCATAATCCTAGCTAAAGGATGACAGAAAGAACGGATGGTTAATTGCGTTAAATATTTTAACACATTAAAGCTGGACAAAAATGAATCGCATGCGTTAACGTTGACAGCACTCGTCATACATTGCTGACAGAAAATATTGCGGTTTGAAGTGGACTCGTTTTCATGGTAGGCCTAACTGTGATGATCTGTAACGTGATGCGGTGAAGGCAGAGAGGAGGCTGTATCCAAACGCAGTGTACACGCTTTATTTAAACAAACTATAAACTTAAACAGAGATTTGGAACAGGAATCTTTACACAGGAACAACCAACAGTCACGTTAATCCTGGAACAGAACATACATTCAACAACCCACAAAGACAGGGCAGAAACACAGGGCTTAAATAATCAGGGACAAACGAGCTAGACAGGATAACAAGGGGGCGTGGTTAACAAGAAACACCTGGGATAACTAATGGACAAGACAGGGAACCACTAAACATGACAAGACACAAACCCACATCGTGACATAACCCCCCCCTTAAGGAGCGGCTTCCAGACGCTCCAAAGACGATCCAGGTGGGGGGTAAAGCTAAGGCGATCCTGGGGGAGGGATGGAGGGCCAGGCCCGTGCAGGGGAACGGGACCAGGACATAGCCACGACGGGCCTGGACCGCAGAGCGTGGGCGACCAGGGCGGAGCAGGACGAGATGGCGGCCAGGGCGGAGCAGGACGTGATGGCGGCCATGGAGGTGAAGCCCCTGCAGACGACCATGGCGGCGCAGCCCTCATGGTCTCCTCACCGGACCCTTGGCCCCCCCCCAAAAAATACTTGGGGAAATCCACGGGTTCAGGAAAGCCCTCCCGGAGCTTGAAGGGCGCAGGCAGGGAAAGGCGCAGAGGCGGGGCCGGCAGGGCGAGGCGCAGAGGCGGGGCCGGCAGGGCGAGGCATCTGGGAACGCCCTCTGGAGCCTGGCGAGCCAAACGAGTCCTCCTCCTCCTTCTGTGACGGCGCTTCACTGGGCTTGAATCTTTCACTTGGCTGGCTTCACTCACTTGGTTAGATTCGGCACTCGATTCACTTGTCTCGGCACTAGACTCACTTGACTCGGCTCTTGACTCACTCGATTCACTTGACACAGCACTTGATTCACTTGACTTGGCACTTGACTCACTTGATTCATTCGGCTCGGCACTTGACTCGGGGCTAGATTCACTTGACTTGGAACTTGACTCACTTGACTCGGGACTTGACTCACTTGACTCACTTGACTCGGCGGGACTTGACTCACTTGACTTGGAACTTGACTCACTTGACTCGGGACTTGACTCACTTGACTCGGCGGGACTTGAGTCACTTGACTCGGCGGGACTTGACTCACTTGACTCGGCGGCACTTGACTCACTTGACTCGGCGGCACTTGACTCACTTGACTCGGCGGCACTTGACTCACTTGACTCGGCGGCACTTGACTCGGCGGCACTTGACTCGGCGGCACTTGACTCACTTGACTCGGCGGCACTTGACTCACTTGACTCGGCGGCACTTAACTCACTTGACTCGGCGGCACTTGACTCACTTGAATCGTTCGCGCCGGCTGGCACGCGTTCAAACTCCGGTTCGGCCGGCGAAACCTCCGCCGCGGTCTCTGGATTAGCAAATTCCACAGAACCAGTGCGGAATACGGGCTTGAGGGGTCCGACACGAAGAGTGGGTTTGGCGGAGCAGACGTGCAGCGCGGGTTCGGCTGAGCAGACGTGAGGCGCGGGCTTGAGGAGCGCAGTCTCGGCTGGGCAGACGTGAATTGCAGGCTCTCGCCGCTTCTTCTCCTCCACGCCCACAGTAAATGATGAACCGCTCCAGAAGAGGGCCAGGTTGACATACCCCTCCAGGGTCCAGCTGGTACAGTCATCCGGCATTAACTGGGCAACGTCCTCGTCCAACCCGCTCCAAAACAAGTCCATGAGCTCGAGGTCGTCTAAAGCCCCCAGACGACAGCACGACATAAAGTCCCTCACGTACCTCTCGATGGACTGGCCTTCCTGAAATATCGAGGCAAGGAAACTTCTGAGGGCCTGGTTGCTGACAACTGCTGGATCCATATTGTGGTGAGTTGTTCTGTGATGATCTGTAACGTGATGCGGTGAAGGCAGAGAGGAGGCTGGATCCAAACGCAGTGTACACGCTTTATTTAAACAAACTATAAACTTAAACAGAGACTTGGAACTGGAATCTTTACACAGGAACGACCAACACTCACGTTAATCCTGGAACAGAACATACATTCAACAACCCACAAAGACAGGGCAGAAACACAGGGCTTAAATAATCAGGGACAAACGAGCTAGACAGGATAACAAGGGGGCGTGGTTAACAAGAAACAGCTGGGATAACTAATGGACAAGACAGGGAACCAGTAAACATGACAAGACACAAACCCACATCGTGACACTAACGTTACACCGAATGTTTTTTTTAGTAAGCTACACAGAATGTTCTACATTAAATATTTAGCAAACAGTTTGAAGTTACCCATTATCCTGACCTGAGCTAATTTCCTGAATCAACCAACTCACATCTCCTTTCTTTTTTTTCATCCATGATGACATTAGATTTAGTCACCTGTTGTTGTTTCTGGCGTTTCATCACTGACTGTGTCGCAATCTATTTTTTTTTACAGTCTATGGTCGCAACCGCTATACCTGCGCATTTCAGTGAGCTATTTTGCATAGGCTCGGTCCTGCTCCTCCGTGGGAATGACGGCGTGCGGTTAAAAATCATAACAAACAAATTTTAAAGTGGGGGGGACATGTCCCCCTTGTCCGCATAGGAAATTACGCCTGTGGGAAGGACCAGAGAATGTCTGTAGACGGGCTCTGGTAGGACATCATCCCCAGGCTTCATGAACTTGCGCTCCATGCTTTTACCGACGACGCTAACGTGACGTATATGGATCTCAATCACACTGTTGCCAGGACCCGCTCTGCTTCTGATAGGCTTGTAACGTTAGTTAGAGCTGTGTTCCCCTCATATGATTGGTAGGTGAAATCAATTGACTCAAAAATATTAAACCGCATGCAAGTTCCCTTTTTTTTTTTTTTACTGCCGCACGCCGGAGATCCGGCACGGTGCCGGAATACTTTAAGCCCTGCGAAAACAGATACCAGGTTTGCCATAATCAGCCAAACTTCCTATCCGCCATCTTTATTTTCTTTTAAATCCTTCTTTTTCGAACTTCTCCTAGACCGTTGGTCCGATTTTCACCAAAATCGAAATCGTGTCATCTCCAGACCATGCCGACTAAAAGTTATGGATTCCGTGACGATAGACGAAACCGTTTTCGTATACCACAGCATCAGTTGAGGCATGCTGCCAAAATGACTATTCAGGCTTTATCTCTGCAATGCCTTCACATTTTGACACATTTTGTCATTGTCACCTCACTCTGATCACAACGCATCGATTTCATAACTGCGCCACCTATTAGTCGAAAGTGATAATCCATTAAATCATATTTTTAGTTACTGTATGTGATTTTTAGGCCATTTTGCCTAAATTCATCTTAAAATGTCTTTAATTGCTCCTTGCTGCATTTGGTCTGAAACTCCCAGCCATGTTGGCATGTCTTGTCGTCTGCTTTTGCACTTGGCCCCGGTAATGGCTGCTTGCAGCTATATTTTGCTATTGTTTCTGTCTACATTCTGGACAATTGTTGCTTAAAAACATTCTCATAGTGCCTTACCTGTAAGTGATATATTCATAACGCTCGCGCGGATTTCAGTCAACACGACACTTGATGAGATTTAAAAACAATATTTAATGCTCAGATGTCAAATTATCCCAAAACATGATGTAGCCTTTTTATCCCACTGGAAATCTCTGCTATTTTTGTTAGCAGACGGCACATGATACATTTTAGTGTCCGTGAGATGCTGAGCAGTCCAGAGGCTGTTTTCTCATGATCGCGCTCGAGTTTGGACAGAATTCACTGCGCGCTCCCGCCTCCACAGTGTAAGGGGAGGGATTGTGAACGCGCAGCCTCCCTTCAGGGACTTTGCCGTCCAGATGAAGGTTATTCAAAATTTAGATACAGCTGATAATTTATATCACATGACCTATGCCTTTTGTCTTTTCGATGTGATTATTAACGATAGCCAGATAATTATTTTTCATATAAACAGTAAAAAGTATTTTTAAAAGATTGTATATGCAATCACAAACACATTTATATTTATATTTGCTTGTGTCCGAATGAATTTTACAGGTTAGTCAGTTTTTTTAGAGATAAAGTCACCTACCATAAAATACTGTATGATTGTTAAAATCATAAAATCAACTATTAAGAAAACCGATGAGAGAGACAAAAATGTGAAGTCCAAACATTATTGTCTAGTGACTATCTATCTGTCAAAGAGGAACAGAAAATCATGCAAAATTATATTTGCAATTGATATTTTTTAATGTAGAATATATTTTGCCGATGCCTACAGTTAGAATAAAAGTGCTACATTTTCCCTGAGATGATTTTTGAACACTTCGCTGCTGTTAGCGAACCAGATATTAAAAACAAGCGAACTGAGCTGCAGAAACAATGAAGCGTCATGAAGCTCGTGAAAGGCTGTACATTCTGTTTGTAATTGCGGTGACTTTAGTGAAAGTTGCTTAATTTGTTGGCAAGTCTTCTCAGGGGGGAACTCCTTCTCAAGAAACGAAACTAAATACAATGATAATGTGAACGCATTTGGCTTTGAGGGACACAGATCTTGTTTCTTTTCATTGCCTTTTATTTTGTTGCGGTTTGCGGTGGTGACGCCCGAACCCTTTCACATGCTGACATCTAGTGGTCGTTGTTGCTCGTTCATTTTAGTAGTCTAGATCTTTTATCAGATTTGTTTAAAAAAAAAAACAATAATAATTCATTGTGGGAAATTAAAGGGCAATGTTTTAAGTAATCAAAATGTGCAGTTTTTTTTAAATATAAACTTGACCTTTGATTTTCTCTTTCTGCTCTCTCTCCACAAATTGGTCTATTTTAAACACACTTCGGTATGTGTCTTTTACATCATCGTAACTAAACAACTCTATCTAACAGTTTTTCCCATTTTGCAACTCTACTAGAATTTTGTATCAGCATCAATGATATTATTACATGTATTTATTTAGAAGTGTTTACCGTGATGAAACACAACGGTCATAAAACTACAGCAAATGCATTATGAACTCAGTAAGTTTCTATGTTGTGCTGGCTTATACTGACACCTGGTGTGGGGGCAGCTTCAGACAAAAGCTAAACTTTTCAGTTAATTTCATTTTCAGGTTTAATTGCATGAACCGCAGCCACAGTCGTATTGAGTTGCGTTATTTTCTATATGAGCTATTTTCACATAGGTTTTGATTGGATCAATATCTAGAATATTGAATGACAATACTTTTAAATAGGGTCACTTTTTTAATTCCTACGTACAATGTAATGAGCATTATTTTAGCCCATATCATGTAACGTTATCGCCGCTAGAGCTCACTTATTCAAAACAACAACGGCGTAAAAGGATACCCAAATATGAAAATTCTATCATTAATTACTCACCCTGATGTCGTTCCAAACCTAGACTTTTTTCTTAGGAACACATATGAAGATATTTCTGATGAAATGAGAGCTTTCTGTCCCTTTATTGACAGCTACACAACTAAGTTACCACTTTGATACTTCAAAAAGTTCATAAAAGTTTATGGTTAAGAAGACCATAAAACTAACATTAACCCAAAAGAATTGAGCGGATGAATCAATTTTCTGAAGAAACACGATCGCATATGATGAGCAGATTGAATTTAGGCTTTTATATTCTTCAACGCACACATCAGTTGTGGTAAACAATAGAGGTGGGCAGATCGATACTAATATCGATAATATCGATACCAACGTGAAAATATCGATACTTAAGTTTCAGTTTCTCTCGTTTTGCGACCTGACCGTGTTTGTCAAAATGCTGCTGCTGTCACAGCAGAGCAGAGCAAGCTCTCTCCTCTCCTGTGTTGTACCGTCACGTGACTCACGCCTCCCCATATAGCGCTACTCAGGACTAACCCCACCCCTACCGCTACCACCAGCAGTCAGTCAGGCGCGCGCTCAGCTCATCTTTCAAATCCTGAAAAAGAGTGCGCTAAAGAGGAGAAATGTTATTTTATTCTCATTATATCTTACAAAGAGAATTTGTTTAACATTTTTTATAATATTTGTTGTGAAGTAAAACTTTGTGACTTTGTTTATTTAAGAAAAAAATCCTGAAAAGAAGTGCACTAAAGAGGAGAAACGTCATTTTATTCTCATTATATCTTACAAAGAGAATTTGTTTAACATTTTTTATAATATTTGTTGTGAAGTAAAACTTTGTGACTTTGTTTATTTAAGAAAAAAATCATGAAAATAAGTGCACTAAAGAGTAAAATCTTTAAAACCAAATCTAGCGGTATCGCACACCTCTACTGAAATGTCATTTTATTCTCATTATATCTTACAAAGAGAATTTGTTTTACATTTTTTATAATATTTGTTGTGAAGTAAAACTTTGTGACTGTTTATTTAAGAAAAAAAATCCTGAAAAGAAGTGCACTAAAGAGGAGAAACATTTTTTGTTAACATGCTACTTGAAAAGAGAATTTGTTTTTACATTTTTTATATTTGTGAAGTAATAGTTTTGTAACTTTGTTTATTTAAATAAAACAGAAGTAACCAAAAGTTGTTTCTGAACAAAAGCTTTTGTAGTACTGATTTTAACTGATTAATAACCCAAAATGCAAATCACAAAAACAAATTAAAAGTCATGAAAATTCATTTAGATTTAGGTTGAAGACGCATCCACCTTAATTATTAAAAAGTATCGGTATCGGTATCGGTATCGGCGATACTGGCCCTGTATTTACTTGGTATCGGATCGATACCAAATCTAGCGGTATCGCACACCTTGAAGCTACAGTCCCCCACCCAGAGTCCCGCATTCTCAGACACCTAGTTTTTCGAGACAGCGCCTCCTGCTGTTCGGAAGATCGTATAACACCCGACAACAGAGTGCCGCGTTCTCGAGAAGGGTATTCCTGCACAACCGGAGGCTGCAGTTTCAGGACCCCAGTTTCAGGACCCTAGTTTTCTGTTACAGCGCTACCTACCGAACTGGATCACCAAAAACACTCATTTAACCACTTTCGTGGGAAAGATCACAGAAGGCCCCAGATTATTGTTGCTCAACATTCATTAGCCTAATGTAATGTACAGGTAAGAGTTGTAGAGAACATGTGAGTGTTGTAATGTACAGGTAAGAGTTGTGGAGTACATGTAAGTGTTGTAATGTACAGGTAAGTGTTGTAGAGAACATGTAAGTGTTGTAATGTACAGGTAAGAGTTGTGGAGTACATGTAAGTGTTGTAATGTACAGGTAAGTGTTGTAGAGTACATGTAAGAGTTGTAATGTACAGGTAAGTGTTGTGGAGTACATGTAAGTGTTGTAATGTACAGGTAAGAGTTGTGGAGTACATGTAAGTGTTGTAATGTACAGGTAAGTGTTGTAGAGAACATGTAAGAGTTGTAATGTACAGGTAAGTGTTGTGGAGTACATGTAAGTGTTGTAATGTACAGGTAAGTGTTGTAGAGAACATGTAAGTGTTGTAATGTACAGGTAAGAGTTGTAGAGAACATGTAAGTGTTGTAATGTACAGGTAAGTGTTGTAGAGAATATGTAAGTGTTGTAATGTACAGGTAAGTGTTGTGGAGTACATGTAAGTGTTGTAATGTACAGGTAAGTGTTGTAGAGAATATGTAAGTGTTGTAATGTACAGGTAAGTGTTGTAGAGAACATGTAAGTGTTGTAATGTACAGGTAAGTGTTGTGGAGTACATGTAAGTGTTGTAATGTACAGGTAAGAGTTGTAGAGTACATGTAAGTGTTGTAATGTACAGGTAAGTGTTGTAGAGAATATGTAAGTGTTGTAATGTACAGGTAAGTGTTGTAGAGAACATGTAAGTGTTGTAATCTACAGGTAAGTGTTGTGGAGTACATGTAAGTGTTGTAATGTACAGGTAAGAGTTGTAATGTACAGGTAAGTGTTGTAGAGTACATGTAAGTGTTGTAATGTACAGGTAAGAGTTGTGGAGTACATGTAAGTGTTGTAATGTACAGGTAAGTGTTGTGGAGTACAGGTAAGAGTTGTGGAGTACATGTAAGTGTTGTAATGTACAGGTAAGTGTTGTAGAGAACATGTAAGTGTTGTAATGTACAGGTAAGTGTTGTAATGTACAGGTAAGAGTTGTAGAGTACATGTAAGTGTTGTAATGTACAGGTAAGTGTTGTAATGTACAGGTAAGAGTTGTAGAGAACATGTAAGTGTTGTAATGTACAGGTAAGTGTTGTAATGTACAGGTAAGAGTTGTAGAGTACATGTAAGTGTTGTAATGTACAGGTAAGTGTTGTGGAGTACATGTAAGTGTTGTAATGTACAGGTAAGAGTTGTAGAGTACATGTAAGTGTTGTAATGTACAGGTAAGTGTTGTAGAGAACATGTAAGTGTTGTAATGTACAGGTAAGTGTTGTAGAGAACATGTAAGTGTTGTAATGCACAGGTAAGTGTTGTAGAGTACATGTAAGTGTTGTAATGTACAGGTAAGAGTTGTGGAGTACATGTAAGTGTTGTAATGTACAGGTAAGTGTTGTAGAGAACATGTAAGTGTTGTAATGTACAGGTAAGAGTTGTGGAGAACATGTAAGTGTTGTAATGTACAGGTAAGTGTTGTAGAGAACATGTAAGTGTTGTAATGTACAGGTAAGTGTTGTAGAGAACATGTAAGTGTTGTAATGCACAGGTAAGTGTTGTAGAGTACATGTAAGTGTTGTAATGTACAGGTAAGAGTTGTGGAGTACATGTAAGTGTTGTAATGTACAGGTAAGTGTTGTAGAGAACATGTAAGTGTTGTAATGTACAGGTAAGAGTTGTGGAGTACATGTAAGTGTTGTAATGTACAGGTAAGAGTTGTAGAGAACATGTAAGT